CTCCATTTTCCCTCTTCTTTTTCGTCAAATTAGCAAAATTTTGTACGGAACTTTTTGCACGTATTTTTGCACAAAACTGAAATGTTTTAGTCAATTTGGCAAACTTAGGATAGAGTTATGGTTTTTCCTATTCGAAATGGCGCGAAAGGAAGGGCTGAGTGCTAGAGGGGCTTCATTGGACCGTATTAAGCCGAAAGTGACCAAGCCACATTAGCAATTGCCAAATTTAATTGGACAATGTAAGTTTTTACAAACGGCTGTGCGCATTTTTGTGCAAATTTCAGTGAATGTTCTGCATAGTACGAAGCAAATTCCTTGAAATTGCATCGGGTCAGTTGCGCTGGTTATAGAGACTCGAGTTTTTGGGATTTAAGATTATAGATTGGCAAAAATGATAATATCGATTCAAACGCTAAGTCTCTGTATGCACACCACTATTAACAGAGGTATCGCACATCGAAAATATCTATATTTTTAATGGATTCTATCAAAGGAAAGACATGCAGTGTTGCAGAAGTGATACGTCGCGTTTTTCTATGAGCGATATCTTCGTTAATATTGGACAAGAAGCAATTTGCCTTCAGCTGAGTCTGCAGCAATTGTTGTTACGAACATGTTGTGCGTGCTTCTTTCAGTTCATTACATACTCGACTCTTTGAATGCGTTTTANCCGGATTCGGGCTCGCCACTACCACCGCGGACCAAATTACGAGGCCCAGCCTGTATGTTTGCGAGTGTGTGTGTGTCCCTTTGACGAGCCGCGGGTTGCCGCATCTGATCAATGAGTGGGAGAGATATAGACGATAAAACGGCGGCTTGTCAAAGCCGAGTGTGCTCCTTTGACGTGCCGCATCTGAGCAATGAGTGCGAGAGAGAGAAAGGACAAAACAGCGTATGGACCAATCCAAGTTGAGCCTTAGTCCCCGTTTACGGCCGTTCTTTCCAGGGCTCATAATCGGAAAGCACTCCGGTGCTTTTTCGGGGCACCCGGATTCGGGCTCGCCACTACCACCGCGGACCAAATTACGAGGCCCAGCCTGTATGTTTGCGAGTGTGTGTGTGTCCCTTTGACGAGCCGCGGGTTGCCGCATCTGATCAATGAGTGGGACAGAGAGAGACGATAAAACGGCGGCTTGTCAAAGCCGAGTGTGCAAAGATGCTTTTTCAGACTCCATCAGCATTTTGAATAATTTCACGAACTGTTAGAAAATACGGCAGAAATGCAAACCCTGGTAAAAATTGGCGATAGGAGCTGCGTTTCAAAATACCATAGGAGTTCTTATAGCCGACTAAAGAAGGCTATTGAAAATCACATTGCTGGCTGTAGAAAGCGGAGCAAATCATATAGCCGGGCTATACGAAGTTTTAAAATAGTATACAGTCGGGCTATAGTTCCTATCGCCGGGCTTTATACTTTATCGCCATTGGCTATACAAGGCTATGGGAAATTGTGTAGAAATTCTTGTGCTTTGGAAATCATTGAGGTTGATACGGAACTACCTTAATATTTACAAAACACACATTATATTTTCCCTTAAAACATATTTTTTTTCATCAATTAAAATGAGAATAATCCATACGGAGTGTGCAAACATTTCAAAATTATGAGTTGAAAAACGCTGATTCCGCCAGATTAAATTTTAGAGCCTAACACAAAGCGGAGCGGCGACGCACTGGCGCCTATAAACCTAACAGGGATACTTCACGCATTGCGAAAACGCGCATTGACGCCTACAAACCTAACAGGGATACTTCACGCATTGCGTTTTGCGCTCTCTGCCCGCCCGCTGCGCCGCAGCGTGCCACGGCGTCTGAAGGAACTATTTCACACCAGAGGGATTGCGTACAGTATCATAAGAAATTGAACGCGCTCCAACATATTAAGAATGACAAGCATCCTTCAAAAGTACGGAGCTTTCCTCGCAAAATAAATCAAGATACTACTGCACAAAAAGAGAGCGGTAGTCAAAAAACTAACTAAGTCAGAGTATCCGTAATTATAGTAACGTTTAGCATAAACTATTATCGTCTGGCTATCGCTTAATCGCCATCGGCTATGAAAGGCTATAAGAAATTGTATAGCGGGCTACAAAGGCTATTGGAAACCTTACAGCCGGCTTTAGGTCCATAGTATTTTGGAACACACATTCTACTGCCAATTTTTACCAGGGTAATCTCTAGAATCGTATCTGCGTGGACCCTCAAAAAATTATATAGGTGATACTTTTTTTTCGACTTTTCCCCCAACACTTTCACATATACACTGTTAGAAACCTTTAGCCATCAAGTGCCCGTAGAAACCCGGAGGAACATTCATGCTCCATCTATCCACGCTCTACGCCTTTCAAATGAATCAGAGGACAAAGTACCTTTTCTTCAATTCTGATTGTTCACAGTTCATCGTCGAAAGCTCATTTCATCCATGCGAAACTTATTGAATTCCTAAAACAGCTTTTGAGTAAGTTGCGATCTTGTAAACGGGGACTCTCTCAGTCTTGCATGAGAATACGTTGACCAAAGCAAGAAGACTTAAAAACCATAATTTGAACTGAACGTTTGGTCTCACCTCTTTGACATAAGACTTAGAGAAAAACAAAATTCGTGGAACGCGCGTGTAATAATGTCCAGCGGGCATTTTTCAAAATTACGGCTTGATTGAAACCTTTGCAAATCCTTGAAGTCGAAAATTCTGAAAATTTCTGGTAATATCTTCCTACAGGGCAACTCAGATACGATACAGGAGAGCGCCTTCAACCCAATATGTAATCTTGATGCGAAATTCTGATACCACTATTCGTGCTTTACGACAATCATTTTGCATATCCGCCCAATTGAAGGCAAATCATTGACCCAGGCAACAGGGTCAGAATTTCAGCAATGTGATACGTATTTTGTACTGTAAAAATTTCAAGGTATAAAGTTGGCTTTCTTATTTCCAGAAAATAAATTAAAAGTGGAAATTTTGAAACACAGCAATGGAGGTACGTGGTTTTGCACTTCATATCGATATGAAGGTAAAGGAGAAAAGAAAACGACATTATATAATGATTGGAATTGGAATTTATGTTTCTGTTGATTTGTCCAATTTACAAACTATCAAACTCAATAGAGAGAGAGTCGATTCACAAGGAAGAAAAATACTTATTTATAAAAACAACAAGCGAACAAATAAGGAATGCCACTCATAAGCTTCTAAATTAGCCAAAGAACAAAAATTGCTCCAAAATTATGCATATTAACTTATTGTTAGTCGCAGAAAATATATAAACCAACAAAAAATCGACCGGTAAAAGTAAATTTGAGGATCAAATGGGAAACATAAAGTGATGATTTGTGGGATGAGTACTGCGGGGAAAAATGTGATATGAACACCCAGACATTGCAACATTTTTTCCGATTACGTATAAATTTAAAGAAAAACTTTCACAAATTGTCATTCGAAATTTTTCAAAGAATCACCTGCGTGAAAATTTAGGGGAAAAACTTTTTTTACAAATAAATATTTTACCATAGGAAATTCGGCAACATTGAAATGCTCATTATTTTTCCTTGGAACGGCCGCAAATGCTTTACGTGCCTTCAGACGTTGCCAAATTTTCTTTGATATTTATGAATTTTCGGGGAAAACTGAGAATATTTTTCTTCAAATTTTAATAACTATCAGATCTGAATCATTCGAAAATTTCAAGAAAAAATATCCATAGGTAACCCTCCTCAAAATTAAACATTTTATCAGAGGAAATTAGGCAACTATAAAATGCTCTTACGGCGTTCTTCCTTCGCATTGCAGAATAGTGATGTTTATCACAGATAACATAGAAATCATAGAATTTCAATGGTCTTCATTGGAACAACTTCTAGTTATAAAGGATGCCAAGAAAATCAAATTGAATGGGGGAACAATACAGATTTTGCAATAAACTATTACGAATTATGACAGGTACAAACAGGACAAAAAAATTAAAGGGAAAAAATAAAGGAGGTAGGACAAGGGCACATGAAAGCACAAACACACAGAAGCTTGAGATGATAATGGAGATGATAAGCTCAGAAAAAAAAAATGGAGTCAAAGAGCTTTAAACCAAAACATAATCGATTCGTCAAAAATTGGTACATATTTAGGAGTATTATCTCTATTACTTTATAGCTTAACTTTTTATCCATGTGAAGGGCATAGTCCAGCCTTATTTTTCAAAAAGAACTCTTGCAATATCAGAATGTCGTATTGATTCTATTGAAAATTTTAGGGAATTTTCTGTATGGCAATGGGCAAAATCCTTGAAATTTTCAAGGGAATCAGTACAATAATTTTCTTTCAAGAAAAAAATAGATATCAAGGAGAATTTGGGGACAACTTATGTTGGTTGATTCCTATCAAGAAACTTCAACCAATTATAGCTCTTCATTTCCAAAATTGGTTATTACTTTTTCGTAGGAAGACTTAGATTTTCTCCTCATCTCATAGCTAAGATAAATTTGTCACAAGGAACTGAAGTTCGGCGAATACACTGCACTTAAAATATTGATTATGCTACAGTTATGACAACCATTGAAATTTCATTGTAAATGCTGAGATACAAATTAACTTAATTCTTACGTTCGATGAGGAAAAAGGTGGATATCTCAATATTACGGCTTTTGATCGCCAAAAAATATGAATTGATGAAATTGAAATAAAATGAGGATTAAAAACCTAAAATTTTAAGCCACGACACACCACACAGTAGAATGTATGGCCAAAAATATCTCATGAAACAAGGCAGAATATAACGAAAGAATGGATAAAACATGGGTAAAATATTACGTAAAACATTAAAAAGGTAGGAGGTTTCAAGCCATCACAGGCACATTTCACGCTGCAAAAACAAACAAAATTAACAAGAAATTGAATGGCAACTTGATGTCAGATGTGATAATGCAATCACTCGTCCTGAACTCGTCGAAATGTCCTAACATTTACAGTGCTCTAATATTTGAGCCTTGTTTTACCCATTTTTCCATTTTTTATTCCAATATGTGCATATTTGCAGGCTCTGTACTTTGTCCATTATTATTATCTCATGAAACTATCATTAATGAGTCCTCAATAATTCTTGGTGCTGCAATATACACACTAGTCACTTAACTTTTGACACATTCCACAACTAACTTTTGCTAGAAGACATAGATTCTTTTTCGTCTTCTTTTTTTTCATTTCAATATAAAATTTCTGAATTGCATGAGAATTTAAAACCATGAAAAAGGAAAAATTTCAAGAGAAAATTGAGTGGTATGTACAGGCCTGAAAATTAATTGATTCTTGTTTAGCATGGTTCATAATTTGATTCCTAAATTCTACACCACATATATGATTACTTAAACACTTACATATCATCAATAACAGGCTAAGTACAAAAAAGTTGATTTCGAATTATTTGCACTTTTATTTCTGACAACCGCTGCGGCAGATACCACTACTGCTGTCTCTTAAACAATACATGCAATACTCCAGTGTTGATGGTACAGCCTGTTATGCTGCACATTGTCTTCGGTGCTTAGAAAAAATGCCGCAGCTGACTCAATTTTCAAGATTAAACACTATGCCTGTTATTGATGAAATTATTAAGTTGAAGAAAATGAGAAAAATGTTTTCAGCCTAATGATATAATTACTACTGCATGGTGTTGACGAGACTTGGGTACTAAAAATTTAAAATTATGAACTTAAAACTATGTATTGATTTGGCAGCTGTGCGCACAAATTTGATTTCCGTTTCAAAGTAGGATACAAGCTTATAAACCAAAAAGTTAGGTAACTGTGGCATGGAATGAATAGTTACAAGTTTAAGGTACTGACTGATATACTGTAGGGCAAAGATCAACAGTAAATCGTATTTTTTTTTTTTACAATAGGGAAAATTTTAAACATAGAATTACATTCATTGGGGATTTTGTTTGTCATATGGAAGTAGTGGAAGTATTGATCGAGTTAATAGTTGCATCTTAGAGAGGGAAATATTACCACACAATCTTGGGACAGTTGAAAAAGAGAAAAAAATTAGATACATTCCAAATCAATTAGCGTTCTAATTAATAAAATGAACCATGGAGGCTGCGAGTTTCGGGAGAAAAAAAAAAACAGAGAACACATGATCTTGTCGCAAAATTCAAAACTTTTAGATTGTGCAACATAACATGTACTAATTTGTATAACTTGATTCATAAAAAAGTAAGAGGGCGAAAAAAATAAAAATTCGTCCAAAAGAAAAAAAAATGAGACTTCATTATTCAATATTTAGGATAATTCTTTCAAGGCCAGGATGACTCTTGGGACGAAGACTAGTCAAAAAACAGGGAATTTTTTTAAAGAAAGTAATTTCATAAACACACTGCATATATCGCCAGCATTAAAGAGAAAAAAAGTAGCGAATGAAAATTGAGCAAGCCATCAAGCTGCAGACCAAAGCAATGTAAAAAAATAAATCCACCTCCGTGGGATAAAAATGTATAAAAATTTCAATGCATGGCAGCCGATCAGAACATGTTGATACAATAACCGGTGCCACCTACACAAATACAATGGGCACATGCCTACCCAACAATATACAGAGATACGATGCGGACCTGTCATCGCTCCTCTAAAGTAAGGGCGTAACTCAATGTCCCTATGAGCCCCAGAAAGCATGGATTTATACGTTAAAAAGGAATTGTGAGGAAATTGAGATATACCCTTACATCAGAGAGGCGACATCTATCCTTACTGGCACTTCACAAATGGCTTTTAGAGGAGATGAAATGTTTATTGAATTGACACATTAATATGTACAGTAATGTCACCTCGAAGGGATTTGGAAAGATAGTTTCCTCAAGGACAATTTTGGGAATATGATAAAACATAAGAAAAATTTTGATATAGCTGATCAAAATAAATTGTAAAAATTTACTTTAAAAAACCTTGGCCACAAATAAATCTACCGTTCCAGTATTGATTCAGATCTTAATTGCGTTTTAACAACTCATAAATAACCACAACCAGCATTATGACTTGTTGAAAAAACTTTTGCCATGTTATGACGGCCACAAAGACTTATTGAGGTCTCAGGATGGTGGATTAAAATATTTGGGCCAATGTTATTTAGTAGCAGAACCGTTCAATATTGGAAGGCCTGGGACTAATGTAACGTCAAAAATACGATAAAATGTCAAAGATGCTAGAAAAAATTCTTACGAGATCCTTCATTTTTACGATGGATGCCTATCAAAATGAAAAGACAGCGCATGGTATCAGCAAAAATATGCCTGGAAATTCTACAAAGTTCAAAACCTTTGTAATCAAATTTTTAAAATTTCTATGTTTTGCACAGTATATGAAATGTTAGGTCAACATCGATACTACATTCCAGAACACTTAGACTTGACTGATTGCTTCAAAATTCTATTGCGGTTTCAAAAGGGGTTAAAAAATGAGTGGAAGTATTCTATAAATCTAAACATTGATGGCTTAGTGCAAAAAAGGCATACCTCGACTGCTACATTTTAAAAATCTCAATGTTTTATTTCCTTTGAGGAAAACCAGTCAAAATTTTACCTTGCAATTTTGTGTAACGAGTGAAGGAAATTTACACAAAATTTCAACAGGTTCATTCAGTTATCCTTTAAAAAGAAATGAAAAATTGAGACTTGCAATGTTGCAGTCTAAAACATGCATTTTGCGACTTCTGCCATCGATTTTTCACTATTCTACATTTCACAGAAAAATAGAGAGCAAACGTTTGCAAAAAAAACCTGAGCTAAGAAGACTGCACTTCATGCAGTGGAAATCGGATATTACAACATCGCTCATAACTACATATCGGTCATAACAACGAGCGATCTGGTCGGTCCTGTAATTGATATCCCATTGACTCAGAGTATTTGTGCATCGGTTATAATGAAAATCGGATATAACGACTGAATCAGGCCGGTCCCTGGAGGGTCGATGTATCCAATTTCTACTGCATTATAAAAGTCTTCTGAAAAATTTGTTTTCCAAAAATAAATATACATGCTAATACTTTAAAGTTTGGAAAATATGATAACCTTTAAAACTACTACGGAAACCAGATGCAACTTAGGCCATCTCAAAAACACATCGAAAACGGTGCCTAGTGCAATGATGAATATTGATGGAGCTTAACAATATTTTGTTGTGAAACACCTTTTTGAAATGGTTTTTCTTTCAAGCAATTGCAGAATCTAAGAAAGCTTTTACTGTTAGAAGATCAGTAACCTGTCTTTACAATGTAAGGTTACTCATGCTGCAGTGTAAAATATTGAGTGCGCTTCAGTGAAGAAATCAAGGGATGGAAATCTGTAATTCTACTACCCATGATGTATAGGAATGGCTTGTTTTTTCTAGTATGAAAATATGAGCCCCTTATTTACCAATTATTCTATCTTCGCAACTCATTATTTTCAATAATATTATCACTTTAAAAGATATCAAAATTAAATAATTGTAAAAATAAAAAATTTAAATATTTAAGATCTTATGGACAGGACCGCATAGGAGCAAACATAGATAATTTCATGGCATACAACCTATATAAGTATGTAAGAGTAATTCCTGGTAACAAAAAAAAAGTACATGATAAATTAGACATACATCAGATCTTCTCATCCTCTGCACTGTAGATCTCCGTCAAAGGGATTACATTTGGGTGCATATCAAATGGATGTTTTAGTCTTATGTTCCTAGCGGAGACAATCATAACTAATTAAGAATGATTTTTAGTCACATTTGAGTGACAGAATTTGGTGGACTTTTAGACAACGTCCAAATTGACATTATGATACATGTTTCTCCATCGAAATTTCATGTAGAACTTGATCTCCGTGACAAAAATGATAGAAAGTAACTCCTAACCATTGCTATACAACACATTCTAAAAGAAATAAAAACTTTTGTCTTGTTGATGAGTGAGACCATACTAAAAGGAATCTTCAGAGCGAGGGGCTGAGAGTCACTGATGTAGAGAGAAAAACTATTACTTACATTCTAATCACAGGCTTTCTCGTTAAAAGTAAAGTATTGCAGTGATGATATCAACACTTAAGTACTTACAAATACCTTAAGACTACAGGAAGCAGGTCAATTTTTGCTCTTGTTTTAATATCAATAGACAATATAAAGGACTTAAAGGCCTTACTGGATGGATAGTGCTATTCCTTTTGCCTGAGGGAGTATAAAATCACAATTTTAAAATAGGATAGAGGAACGGCAAGATAAACACAACACTCATTACCAGCGTTTGTCATTGCAATTTTTAGTGGCTGATTAGATTTTTCCACCTAATTTTACTAGAAATCTGTGAGGATCAAAGAAAAGCTGCAACGTTGAGCGAAGCGTTTTCATATGCAAATTGCGACAGATAAGCTTATCACCCACATTTTGATTCTTTTCAAAAAGGTTGAAAAGTTTCAAGAATTAAAAGCAAATTTGGGATTCGAACTTCACACATAAACATTGATAAATGATTGCAATGTTCGTTGATAAAAAAAAAAAAAAATGGAATTAAAAATGAGAGGGCTTGCAAAACAAGCCAAAAATAAAAGTCAACCTGATAGTGGGTATCATACTCTACCAGACAGAGTCACAAGCGATATGCAAAAAGTAATTTAGCATTATCTTAAAATACAAAAAGAAAGACAAAAATTATCTACAAATGTACTTATCAAAATATATAAGCGGAAAATTTCTCTAAAATATGAGGGAAAATCTGAAGATGAGATGTTCTGCGTTCAGAGAGGAGCCTTTCACTTTGCTTGTAAAATGTAAGACCAAAGTAAAGGTAAGATATGAGTCACTTTTGTCAAAACTTACAGCAAAAATAGACTTTTGTAAATCAAATAAAAATAAAATGATACTACATAGTATTATCCCTGGATCAAAGGGATCACAAAATATGAACAAAATTTCAAGAATGAAGAAAGAGGTGGTACCGGCAGATACCTTGAAAATTGATTTTTGGCAAGAAGCAATTGAGAAGAAGAATGAAACTCCTTTGGACGGTAGGTAAGAAGTCAGACGATTTCTATTTTTTTCACCTTAACGTGGCACGGTGAGTAGTGATTGGAATTGTCTGTCATTTCCGGCGGCATGTTCAGGGGCTCTTCTTCTTTTTCTGTAGTGAAAATAGAAGAAGAGAAATTGAGAAAAAAATCACTTATTAGTCTGCTATGACTAACGGCTAATAAAATTGCGAAAAATAAATGCTCATTTCCACACCATATAGGTTGAACCTTTACTTAGATTTTTTTTCTCTTAGGAATTCCTTTTTACGAAAAAAATTCTGATGTACGGACCAAATGTCAGATCCTCAACAACTGTCAAACTACTTGATGTGCCAAACCAAACTTTCGATTTGTTTGTTGTAAAAATAAATTCAAGTGCATAACAAAATTTTTGGATGGAGCCAAAGAGAAAAAAAGGGTTCACTGGCACAAGAATAAAGATGACACTTGATCGCGTAAGCCCTAGCTTCCAAAAGTTTGTGGCCACTAGAGAAAATTTTTTCATAAAAACATTTTTAATTCACAATTGGTTTGAAAAAAGCCGTCCTGATTTTTTAAATTTTTGTCTCAACTGAGACATTTTCCTTTTGTGCACGGTGAGGAAATTCAGGGACTGAGATTGTGACTAATTATTGCTCTGAAAAATTTTCTGCACCTCTTCAATTACACAAAATCAGCTTAACTAACAAAATAGCTTGAGTGACATTGGACCCCCTGCATTACAACCAGAATGCTCCATTTAAAATGCCCAACACGTTTCCAATGTACTCTATAAAATTATTTTTCATCTTAAAATTGGCTTAATGAATCTGGTTCTTACAGCTTAAATAAACTTTAGACAGTAAGTTGGAATTATTTAGCCAACATGCGTTAAAACTCCAGAAAACTGGAAATCTCAATGCAGAGGGAAAAAGCTCACCCAAGCTCAATTTGTGCTCAAATGAGCTTTATCCTTCTGCATTGAGATTTCCAGTTTTCTAGATTTTTAACGCACGTGGGCTAAAAAATTCCAACTTACTGTTTATACGACTCATGCGTCTACCGCAATCGGTTTGTTAAAAAAACTTCCTTAGCACCAATTGTTCAACTAAATTTTAAAACACCTCTCAAAATATGGCGCATAATTACCTGTAAAAGATTTTTTTTCTCCTGGAAGAGTGATTTCTATGATCACCTACCTCTTTAGAAATTGCTCAGACCTACTACATGGTTCGATTAGGTAAACCCTGGTGTTTAAAATTCTTGACCATCCTCATTCCGTGATTTTTTCCTGATTTTCAAAAACTCCCACTTTGCCTGGATTTTCTTGGGAAAAAACTATATGACCCTTGTGAATTCCAGACATGAATATGGATTTTTTTCATCTTCAAGTCGATTCTTCAGTGCATATTCAAATTTCTCAGGCAGATTGTGAAGTTAGGAGTGCATTTCAGACTTTGTCGATGCACTCATTGTGATTTTTGAGACATTTTCGGTATGAAACAACACTTAGTTTTGCTCTAGCAAAAGTTTGCAGCAGGCCCATTCCAAAAGTGTCTCTGACGTTTATGATCTAGTCAACGAAAAATTCTCTATTGATGATTTGAAGGTTTCAGAGGTCAATAATGGCGGCTCAGGTGCAATATTAGAAACCCGAATAACGATAGGTACCTGAAATTTCCTTACCACAATTTATTTTTGTAAGTGCACTATCAAACCCAGTATTACTTTCATCAATGTTCAGCAAATGACTGTAGTAAAGAGATAACCTGGAGAAAACTCAAATGAGGTTTACGATAGAAATTAGTATCTAAATTTTAAAAGAAGCGATTCCCAATTTTAAGAGAAATTTCTCTGAAATTTTTTATTCCCTAAGGAATCCCTGATTTTCTCAGTATTGACACCATGAATTAAACTTTCTGAATACCTAATTTGATTCATTCATGTAAAAACTATTACTTACCATCAGAATATGCTATGATGTCATCGTAGTGGTACTTGATTCGACACATATCAAATAACGGACAAGGAGACCAGAAGCAGCATAGAATTAATAAACCAGCGATCGCTATACATGATACTATGACACTTAGACCTATTATCATTGCCCACCTGTAACATTAAAGATAAAGGAAGGAAATCTTTACTTACGGTAGATCTAAATAGTATCACAATATAAACAGAGAAACTGGGCAAAGCATTAGAATTCAGACCTTTGAAACAGTTCAGGCAGTGTTGGATCTTGCAATGTTTGCATTGCAGCAAAGGAAAGGAAAATCTTTGGTTACAGGAAGATGAAACTTTACTTTTAAAAAAAAACAAAAAATTCATAAAAATTGGAAAGTGATCATCATCATTTCAGTGTTGTTAAGTATCATTGGGCATTTTTTTCTCTTTTTTTTTGTTACAGAGATTAAGTTTTGAGAAGACTAATTATTTAGAGTAAAAAATTTAAAACATATTTCATCCCTTGCAGGAGCTCTCCTTTCCTTCAAAGTTTCATGAAAGGAATCAAACCTCAGAAAGAGCTATGCTGAAAAAAGAGCATTACAGACATTACAAATGTAGGCCCTATTTTGGTGACATTCATGACGCTTTTAAACGCGTCTTTTCCAATATAGTGTTTTCTGAGGTTTAATTCCTTTGATGAATTTTTGAGGGGAAAAGAAAGATCTCTCTTGCAAGGGTTCAAGGGTTTTTTGAAATTTCTTTACTATAATTAGCCCTTGACGAAACTTTAAAAAAGCAAAATTTTATCTCAGTGACAAAAAAATGCCCCAATAAAATGTAATTGGTTTTTTTTTATAGACACCAGATTATTAATTTTACAGTTAATGGTTATGAAAAATATAAATCAAAGATGAAGTTAGATGAGGACTTACGTAGGATTGACATAAAATGCATTAGGGTCCACTGCAGGACAGCAAAATACCGTGGAATTACTCCAGCAACACGTATCATACGTGCTTGGATCATTCTCTCCAGGACACTTTGTATCATAGTCGCCATTTTTACTGGAGCAATCTTCACAGCCTGAAAATTTTAAAAGGTCAGTTTCAATGGGAACAGAGCAAGAATGAAAAGGCGACACCATTTAATTGTTACACAGCAGACTCGTAAGCATGTTAAGATTGCTGAATTATTGGTGCATACATTATATTTCAGGACAAAACTTTAACAAAACAGCGGCTGATGATTCAGCATAGAAGTATAGAAAATTACCGACCACATAACAAAATAAATCGTGGGTACCGCCGGTACCCCCTTGCAGATACCGAAAGATCGAGGGCGTCTTGTGAGATTAACCTAAAATTGATCTTTCAGCGATGTTACAATGATGGTCTGTGGGAGTGTAACTCATAATTCTTTAAACTTCATTTCCTAAGTCCTTAAGGAGAAGCAATCATGAATTAAGATTAGATGATGGGGAATCTACAATTAGCCGTTCGGAGAGTTTACTGCATGGACCATGAATGACGCCGATTGCATGTTAAACTGAGTAAGTAGAGTTTTAAAGTATGGCTACGCAACTAAGGATCCGCATCATACCAAGAGCAGTACAAGTTTGGACCGGAGTAGATTTTACGTCCAAGGACACTTCACTTTCTACATGCTGAACTAAGAGGTTAGACACGGAACCAGAGTAAGTAATGTGATAATCCGATGCTCAGGAGAGTACCAAAGTGTTTTTGACATGTCATCCGCACAATTTTACATTTTACTCAAGAAATTGATTATACGAGTCTGAAATTGTGATAAAGTAAAACCTGCAACGTCTCAACGAGCATTTGAGAAAAAAATTTCAAGGGTAATAAAAAAATTGGTTGTGTCTTCTCGTGGATCAAATGCATATTAGGAGAACTAGATGGTTTAAAAGTACTTACAAAATGAGCGAAATTGCAGGATGAAACATAAAATGAACCCTAGAATGTGTATTTTCATGATTTAGCCGTTTGTAGAGTCGTTGTCTGTTACGCAAAAACCACAGTGCTCTTGTACCTTCATTCAAGTCCTACATGGAAACTAAGTGAAATGACTATGAATTCGGTGTGGCACATTATTAAACACAAACGTAAAAGTCACTCATGCTAGAAACATTACAGCATTGCATAAAAATAATGAAGATTGAAAAATTTCCAACGAAACTGCAGATATCTGAAAAATTGATGAGGTTTTGTTTTGATTTGTGGATATGGAGATTGTAAAAATCCCCGCTAGGGGCAGCAGCCATGTTTTGATCAGCGCAGCTGCTGTTTATCAATCATTCGGAGTGTTTTGAAGTGAATACGTTCCGCTGTCTGATAACGTAAATCAGTTAGTTGAATTGCCGTAGAAGGTCATTCATCAGTGTTTATTATTCTTTTTTGTTTCCCAGAAAAGTCATTCAGTGAATGTGAGAAGCTTGTGTTGTGAAGTGCGTGAAATCAATCCTTCAAAATGCGGCTAACTTTCGTGCGACTGAACAAACTGTCGAAAATGTTGGATTTTTATTCACAATTCAACCCATCCCCTCTGTCCATCAAACAGTTCATTGACTTTGGTAAGTTTTCCCCCTTTCAACCTCCTTCAGCACACATAGAAACGAATTCCTGTTTTTATGTGTATCAAATGCATTAACTCTTATCATCGTTTGCATATTGATACTTTCTATCACAATTAACATTGCTTTCCAATTCACCAAGCTTCAACCACAATGTTTGTTCCAAGGTTTACAACACATAATGAAGGAATAGCTTATCATATTTCATCGTGTGTATCTGAAATATTGAACAGGTGCTTCTCTAGCCCTCAACTTCCAATGGCTACCATGTGTATTTTCTTACATCAGCCAAGACCCAAAGCATTGAAAGCATGGATTTCCTACTTTTCTTGCCAAGCCAATCTGGTTGAATCTGGATTTCCTCTCGTATCCCTTCAGTCAGCTGTTATTTAATAGCAACCTTGCTCACTAGATCTTGACCTAGGCTCACCTTATTGTTTGTCGCTGATCGATGAACTTAGACGGGTTACCCTTAGTTTTACTTAACTGCTGAAAATTTCACTCAATTCTTAACGAAGTGAGGGTTTGACTTTATTTTATAGGATAAATAGATTGTTCAACTGTTCTGAGTGCGGTTTGACTGCAGCTGAATCCAGAAATGATATCAGGGATTAATATAAACTCGGTACTCTTGTACGTAATAACTTGGGGTCAGTCCAAGGACTGACTATTTAAGTAAAGAGAACCACTGAGAATTGAAATTCAAGAAAAGTATAGATCTAGACCAGAAGTTTGCACTGAGTAATCTGCGGTATCTCTACGGTATAATATTGGCAGCTCAGAATAAAAAACCATTTATTTCGTAGTTTATTTTCAAGTTTAAATTCTGGTTTGTCTCATCTGTTCAGATTGCCAATTATACCTGACCACTTGCGCGATACTCATACGATATAAACAGTTTGTGCTAGGCTGTTTTGAAGCTTCCTGAATCAAAAGGACGGCTTGAAAAATGGGCCATGAACTTCCTTGTTATCCACCTCATTGTGTTTTTTAGCTCTTGAAATTATTCGTTTTTGGCCCATCATTTGAGGCATTTGTCCTACAATCACGCAAACTCAGGTTCATTTTATTGTCAGTGAGGTGATAAGAGATTTTAATAGGCTTGGACTTGCCTAGATTGGATGAAGCTGTATGTAAACCATGTAGAAACTTGTCCAGTCCAGTCTAATCAAATGTAAAGAATCATCCTGTTGGGTAACTCTTTTATTTTTCTTTTCATTTTTTACAGTCTAAGCAAGTCGACTATTTTAGACTAAGTACGTACATGAAAAACGAAAAAAGTGATGCAAGATCTAGTTGAAAGTTCATTTTTTTCAGCCCAACTTGAACTCTTTGTTTGTAATACTTTTCCTAAAACTGCCTCTGTGTAGAGCCACAGCTTCCTTTTTAAGATTTTTTTTATACCCAGTAGAAGTGTCAGTTTTCATGAATCAGATTCGGTGGAAATCTGTGCTCTCTACTTAAATACTTATGAAGTGCTTTACCCATCTTTTACCTCATGGAAGAGGAACTAATTTTTTATTCGGAGGGGGAGGGGGACCGGGTAATTTCTTAAACTTTTCTTTTAGCCTCCTTTTTTGTCACTTCCCCTCCACCCTCCTCCCAACAAACTGAAGTTCCCCATATTTTTGAGATGGACGGTTTTTAAGGACAGCGCCAAAAATTTGCCGCAGAAATTTTAATGGATCAAACCATAAATGTCGCCTGAAAATAGAGAGTGAAATCTTGAACTTGAGAGGCTTTAGCTTCCAGTAGAAGCGGTTTTGGTTTTAAAAAAATGTACAAAGAAACCATTATTTTCTCCAAGAATCAATCCCTACACTGGCGTGCTAAGAAATAACGCTGTATGAGCCTTCAGACGTTGCCAAATTTCCTTCGTTAAAAACAGAATTCACTGGGAAAGTTGGGAATGTTTTTTTCCAAAACGTTCACACGAGTCAATGCCTAATTCAATCTAAAAAATCTCTAAGTTTCAAGAAGAAATATGAATACATTTCGTCCAAAGTACATGTTTTATCAAGGAAAATTATCAAGGTATTATCATAATATCAAGGCAACTCTCGAATTTTCGTACGGCGTTTTCCCTTAGCACGACAGTACAGTCTTCGAACTCACCCTAATTTTTTAACAGTTTTCACGTTGAAATTTTGCTTTTTTCAAAAAAGTTCATCAGGAAGTTTTTGTAAATAGTGAGTTTGGCGGCGGAGCTTTTAAATTTTAGCCACGGTCGCGGTCGAAGGGACCAAGGTATGACGTCTTGGCCGGTTCGCGCTCTTGATGCGATCCTCGGACAGCGTTGCCACACTTCTAGTAAAAGTCTATGTTTCCCTATTCCTCGGAATCACCCTTACTATCTTCGCGCACCGACAACCCTGTCTTCACGCCCCATCGATCAGGTTGATTGGAATTACACCCCCCCCCCCTCACTCATCCGCCACGAGCGGGATGAGAGCCCTATCAACAGGGATACAGCTTAAAACTTGGTGCTCACGTGGCGTGGGCAGCGATTTGGAATTGTTCCCCATTTGAAAATTTGCCCCTTCTCTTTTTTTCGCCGTTGCTCCCGTGGAGAAGAATGAGGATTGTAACGCCGAATGGCAACATTGTTTGGTGTGCGTGTTTTGACGGAAGGTCCTTGAATAGCGTTTTAGGGGTTTGAAAAATGGGGTACCGCGTATCTCGCTCTGCCAGTCCTGGACGATGGAATTGTGCACTTTTTTTGTGATAAATCCCTCTTGAACACTGTCACAAATTTTGAAGCAAAAATGTGACCGCCAATCGGCTAAAGGGCCCTATTGTTCATTCGCGTCAGGATGCAAAATCTCATAAAAATTTATAACGTAAAGTCTCGCAACGAATTTTAATGACATTTTTGAATATTCTTCTACAACATGAAACACATAGAAACAGTAAGATCTTAATTTTGCGATTTTGAAAGGAAATTTTTCTTTCAATTTTTCCTTCAGCAGGAGTGGAATTTGGAAGCTTTATATCGGATTCTTGGATATTGGTCGCGGAATGCATTGTTCGTACTGCCGCGGGCGAACCTTCAATCCGGCTGGCAGCAACATGCTTACACCCGTGGTCGAATAGTCGTATCACTGCGCCTGCCGTGAATGAGTTCAAATATCCTTTCCTGCACGCGTAAGGAAGCGTATTTAGCTCCGATTGCAACGTTACAGACCTCAACTAATGTCTTATTTTTAATCATTCTTGTCACGAAAGGCAAATAGAGTTTTTCCAAAGAATTTCCGCGGATTTTCTTCAGTCCCCGGAAATTTTGACGCAATATTTTCGCTCGTTTCATACCTCATTTTAAGAAAATGAACTCAATAAACCCAATCCAAGATTCTGAATCGTTCCAATTCAGGGATACACTTTTACTCAAATTGTGGTAAAAACGGGACAGAGAGTCAAGGATAATGACGTGCAGTCCTCCCTTTGCGGCGATTTTAGCGGCGCGCCAGCCAGGGAGATCGCACGGGCCGGGACCCGAGTAATTCCTGGAGTGTGGGGCGCCTTCAATCCGGCTGGCAGCAACATGCTTACACCCGTGGTCGAATAGTTGTATCACTGCGCCTGCCGTGAATGAGTTCAAATATCCTTTCCTGCACGCGTAAGGAAGCGTATTTTGCTCCGATTGCAACGTTACAGACCTCAACTAATGCCTTATTTTTAATCATTCTTGTCACGAAAGGCAAATACAGTTTTTTTAAAGAATTTCCGCGGATTGTCTTCAGTCGCCAGAAATTTTGACGCAATATTTTCGCTTGTTTCATACCTCATTTTAAAAGAAATGAATTTAATAAACCCAATCCGAGATTCTGAATCGTTCCAGTTCAGGGATACACTTTCACTCAAATTGTGGTAAAAACGGGACAGAGAGTCAAGGATAATGACGTGCAGTCCTCCCCTTGCGGCGATTTCAGCGGCGCGGCATGCCGTGGTAAGGAAGAACGTCGTATGAACCCTTAGGTGTTGTCAAATATTCTTCGACGAATCACGAATTTCGAGAAATTTTTTTAGATATCTTACCTCCGATTTTTCAGGCAATTTTGTTGTGTTTGTAATTTGATCTAAAATTAAAATTTCAAGGGAAAATATTCATAATCTTCGTTAAACAAGTAAATATCCCCTGAGAGGAAATTATGTAATTTTCAAATGCCTGTACGATACGGCGTTTTTCCTTAGAACGTAGCGTAGGCGTAAAAAAATTGGCGAAATATTATGGAAGATGCATTTTTTTTTTTTGCATCTTTGTTCCCCGGGGGACACAAGTTCTAGTAGGTAGGGAAAAATCCTTGAAGTTGGGCAGAAAAACTGGAGCATATTTTGATCATTAATCATTGATCGTGGAATGGTGTTCGAATTTGATGGGCTATATGCGCCATCTGCAAAATGCGGTCAAATAATGCCCAAATTAGGAAAAGTTTGATTACGGCGCAGTGATGCAATTATTCATGCTCGCTGGATGTCCGTGTTGTATCTGCAAAATTGAAGGCGATTTGTCGCGAGGCGTAACCCGCTCCGATCTGCGCTGCTAGTAAGAAGTCGCTCAGATTTTGGAGAAAATTTAAAAATTGAGGGTGAATTACGTGTTTCCTATCTTCGGCTGTGTCGCTGATGTAACTCACGAAGCATCATTATTTATGAAACAAGAAAGGAGACAAACGGAACCAATACAATGTGGGAATATAGGGAGGGGAAGGACGCGTGTGGATGACGGCGCAGAGATACAACTCTTCGTGCTTGACGGATGTCCATGTTGCATCTACAAAATTGAAGGCGCGATGGCGCGAGGCGTGAACTCGCAATGCAAAATCATTGCCCGTGAAACATTGTTCGAATCTGATATGCGCCATTGCGCCATACTTGACCGAAATGCACCCAAATAATACGCAAAATGAATGTACGTACAGTACATAAGCGCTTCCATTTTAAGTGGAGGGGCGAGATGTCTGTACTCGAGTTTTTTCACGAGCGGGTGTTTTTAAATCCGC